CAGGGCCCCCAGACCTGGGAAGTGGCAGAGTGGGTCTGGGACCCGAAGCGGGGAGAATAGGAGGCAAGGCCTTCCTTGGAAAGAAGGATCAAGATGGGGTCTTGGGGTCAGGATGCCTGGGTCTCTCCATTCCCCCGTTGCTGTCTGACGTCCTGTGCCGTCTTGTCCTGTTTTTTTTTTTTTTTTAATTGGGGTCAGGGCTGGGGCGGGGGAACAAGGGAAGGACCTTGAAAAGGGCTGCTCCTGGGCCTGGGGGCAGTCATGGGAGCCCCTCTCAGCTGTGGGGCTGGCACAGAGCCCCAGGGCAAGCTTTTAATAAACTGTTGGTTATTCTAACAGATCCCAGGACTCACCCTTTCTGTCTTAGTTGCGTGAGAAGGCCTGTTCAGAGGCAACTGATAGTGTTAACTTGTAATTTATTTATTTTGATACCAGGAATTGAACCCAGTGGCACTTAACCACTGAGCCACATCCACAGCCCTTTTTATTTGAGACAGGGTCTTGATAAATTGCTTAAGGGTCTTGCTAAATTGCTGAGGCTGGCATTGAACTTGCAATTCTCCTGTCTCAGCCTTTTGAGTTCACACTGGAATTACAGGCATGCGCCATCATGTCCACCAGTTAACTTGTATTTTAAAAGAAAATTTATGGGCTGGGGATATAGCTCAGTTGGTAGATTACTTGCCTCGCATGCACAAGGCCCTGGGTTCAATCCCCAGCACCAGAAAGAAAATTTATTGGGCTGTGTAACTAAATCCCATTAATTAATTAATTTGATTGATTGATTATGGTACTGAAGATTGAACCTAGGGGCACATCATCACTAAGCTACATCTCCAGACCTTTTAATTTTTTTATTTTGAAACAGGATCTCACTAAGTTGGTGAGACTGACCTGGAACTTGTGATCCTCCTACCTCAGCCTCCTGAGTCACTGGGATTACAGGTGTGCACCACTACGCCCAGCAAAATTCCAGTGATTTTAATGACTGGATCCAGGATTTCAAGGGATGTCACCATTCTCTGCTTTCCTTTGGCAAAAATTCTCAGAAAGCCCCACTTCACACATACCCCTGGCAGCTCACACTTTTATATCTTACTTTTAGCAGCCTCAACAAGGAGACTTCTGACAGATGCCTGCAGGGCCATCACTGATCAGTCAGGTCTAAGTCCTGTACCCACCCCTTTAAGGCTGACAGAATCAGCTCCTGGAAAAAGTGCCTGTGAAGTGGAAGGCATAAACACCAACTGTCCCCAAATCCATTTGTGCTTCACATCCTTTTTTGGGAGGAGTGGGGGTACTGGGGGTTGAAACCTGGGACTTTGTACCTGAGCTATATCCTCAGCCCTTTTCATTTTTTTTTTTTTTTATTTTGAGTCAGGATCTTGCCAAGTTGTGGAGGCTGGCCTAGAACTTGCAATCCAGCCTCAGCCTCCTGGGTTGTTGGAATTATAGGTGGGCCCTGCTGTGCCCAGCTGTGCTTTATATTCTTAAGGACATCTTTCTCCCAAGTGGGCATTACCAGATCTAGCTAAAAGCAGGGTCACCAGAGGGGTCCACCAACAGGTTGGAGGAAGGCTAAGACAAACACTTCTCAGATATGGCCTGGAAGCAGACTTCGGGTGAAAGAGTCTAGAGGCTGGGATGACTTTGGGGAACCTGGGAGAAATGAAAGGGAGCTAGACCCCTGGTTACTAATAGTACTGCCCACCCCCCAGCTTTCTGGTCTTAAGATATAGGGAGTAAAAGTGGGGGACAGGTTCTAATGGTAATTACAAATATTCCTTTATTGAGTCTTTTAAAAATAAACCCCTGTAAACACTTTAAACAGAGAATGTGAAGCTGAGAAGTAGTGTCTGAACAACTTATGTCCATGGGGGCTGCAGTCTTCTCTGGTCCTGGTCTGTGCAGGTTTAGAGTAGGAGGTGCCACACACACTTTGTACACATAGAAAGGGTTCCTCCTAGGGGACAGGGAAGCTTAGTTACTCTCTGCATCACTGCTGATGATGCCACGCATATGTGACCAGTCTGGGGGTGCCTGACGGGGCCGCTCCTCCTCTGAGTCCAGTGTTCTGCGGTATAGCTCCCCTGGTGGGACTGCTTCTCCTGAAGGGTTCCAGGCTGTACGTCTGCGTGGCCGGCCTGAGGGCCAGGGTCAGGGACGGAAGATTAGTTGTCTGTGGAAATCCAACCCCATCTGCTCCTCCTCACTCTTCCTCCTCACTTTCCTTTTCATTTTCCTGGTGGCTTGGAGAAGACTCACCTGAACTACTGATGATGTTGGAAACATCCAGGGAAGCTACCTCTGCTGCCTCTTCCCGCTGTTCCTTCAGGGCCCTACACTTCTCTAAGGAAGGGTTACCTGGGACAAAAAAAGCTTGTGTCTCTTTCTCCCCGGCAGCCAGACCCCCTTGTACCTCCCAGGGCACGCACTGCCTCACCCTTCATTCCCAGGGCTTCCAGCTCAGCCCGGAGGACACTCAGACGCTCCTTGTGTGAGTGACAGGAGCCCAGCAGCTTCTTATAGTTTCGATGAGCACCGCAGGCCCGGATGTAGCGTTTTAGCCTCATCACAGCTGGGTGGTCCTCTCCACGGCGACCAGAGGTAGCCTATCAAGGAAAGAGTACCTGAAGACCAAGCCTGCTACCCTGAAGTCAGAGTCTCCCTCTTTATTAGTGGTGGTCTCCTGCCTCAGCTGTTCCCTCACCTTCCTGCCTTTAGGATCTGGACTTCCATCCGAAGAGGAAGAAGAGTTTCGTGTCCTGCCTTTCTTGGAGCTCTTCTTAGATGAGCGGTTTTTCCTTTCCCCCTTGGGGCTCTCTCCTGCCTCGCTGTCACTCACTTCCCTCTCCAAGTCACTCTCCTCACCGTTGACACTGCCCAGTTGGGCAGGTGATTGCACCTTCCCTCTGTCTTCTCCATCCTCATTGCTCCCGCTCTGACTCTGACCACCCTTACACTGGGTCCTGTCCTTGCTCTTCCAATGCACTAGAGGCTCCTCATCCTCCCCACTGTCCTCCCCACTGTCCACTGCCTCTTTCTCATCCCCGCTGTCCTCCCAGTCTTTCGTTTGCCTCCCTGCCCTGCTTTTCTGCTTACAGCTTCTCCCCTCCCAAGCTGATCTTTCCCCTCCATTGCCTCTGGCTCCAGGCTTCCATTCCTCCTCCTCCACCTCCTTCTCCTCCCTGCTCTCTTTCTTGGCCACAATCTCTTCCTCCTCACTCTCCTTTTCATTTTCCTGGTGGCTTGGAGCCCCTCTATTTCCCCCTGCCTTCTTTGCTATTCTCTGGACAGGTTCTTCCTCACTGTCCTCCCTTTCTTCTCTGGCCTGCTTCTTCCTGGCTGAGGCCTTGCCTGATGCCTGTTTGTTCTTGATCCCAGGTTTCTTCCTAGTCCTTCCCTTGTATTCTTTTTTCTCATCTTCCTCACTGCTCCCTTCCTTCCAAACCTTACTTGTTCTGACAGAACCCTCTTCCTCCTCACTATTCTCTATTCCCATATTTGCAGTCAGGTCTCCTTGCTGTTCCTCATCACTGCTCTCAACCACTTTCTTTAAGGCTTGACTTGGACCCTTCTCTTCCTTGGCTGGGCTGACTTCTGCTGCTGCCGTCCCATTCTTTGTTGGGGGTCCAAAGGAGTCAGGACTGGAGGCTGCAGAGCTGGATTCTGCAATGTGGAGAGAAAAGAGGGTTGGTATAGGTTTCTCCTGTCCATTTTCCCTCCATTTGGGATTGGTTACCTCCGGCCCTGCTCTGATAGATGGAAGGGCAGTAGGAAACAGCCATCATTCCATCCCAATTTCTGGTTCCAGATGCCTGGGCCCATATAATGCCTTGGGACATAATATACAACAAATACCTTTTTTAAAAAATAACATTTTTTAAATTGTCGATGGACTTTTATTTATTTATTTATATGTGGTACTGAGAATTGAACCCAGTGCCTCACGCGTGCTAGGCAAGAGCTCTACCACTGAGCCACAGCCCAGCCCAGCCCAACAAATAAATACCTTTTGAATGAACCAGTGATGCAGAAGGCACAGATAGGAGGGAAGAGGCACTAACCTGACTCTGAATTGAAGCGGAACCTTTTGCTGTCTGGGTCACTGCAGGGGGTGGGAGGCCTCTTCACCTTTTTGGTAAGGTCTAGCTTCTCTTCCCTAGAACCAGCTTCATCCACCTCGAGAGCAAAAAGTACTAAGGTTGTGTCCCGCCCCACCCGGGCAATAAACCCCACCTCTGGTGGCCTATGCCTGTGCCCTCACCTGCATCTTCAGCAGCTCTTCCTCCACCAGCCTCTTCAGCACCTGCTTCTCTTCGGGTTTCAGATGATTGCGGCCCACTTGAGCCAAGAACTTCCGCCGCACGATGGAGTGCGTGAGCGTGCTATGGAGACAAGTGTCAAGGCGCAGTCCCCGCTCCACCCCTGCCCTTTCCAACCCCAACTCCTGTCCCTAGTGCACCTGAGGTCAGGTCGGCCTCGGAAGAAACTCCGCGTGAACTCCTGCATCTCATTTTCTTGCGCCATTTTGCTCCACTTGGGATTGGCGGCTCCCGCCTTTTTTCCTGTCGGCCTTGGTCAGCGCGTTTGACAGTAGCTCGCGCACGCGCAGTGCCGCGGCACCGTAAGACCAGGTGCTGGTTGAACTTCGGTGACAGACCGCTGGGGCAGAGAACTTTGGCACACAAAACTTGTTTTCTCTTAGAAATTGAAGGGTCTCGCGACTCCTACCCTTGGTTTGAATTAATCATTTATAAAGTTCTTGTTAGAAACCGATTCGGCGCCGACAGCGTTTGGTTGTAACGTAATCAACTCGCGACGATCCCTTCCACCGTGGCCGCGGACACCGACTAGACCTCTGTTATTATGAAGGTCAGAAGAAAAAAAGCATACTCCCCAAGAGACTAGGAATCTCTGGGGGAGATCTCTTCCTGGCTCCAAAACCCTAAGCACATTTAGAATCAGTAACGGCGCCCTCCAGCGTCCGCCATCTTTATGACGTTATCGCGCCGCTGCTACGCCATCTTCAGCGCAGCCACTGGAAACCGCGTTCCTTTCCCGGTGTTCCCCAGGAGGGCGGTCCGTGTGGACACGCTGCCTGCGCGCGGGGCACGCCGGGAGTAGTAGTCCGAGAAGGTACTGCTTTGGAGAGTCTCCGGAAGTGGGGGCGCGAGAGACCCGAAGGACCCGGCTCGCCGTAGCTGGACGCCCGACACTGGGGTGCTGCTCTGGGGCGGGTCATGAACGGGCCGGCAGACGGTGAAGTGGACTACAAAAAGAAATATCGTAATCTGAAGCGGAAGCTCAAATTTCTCATCTACGTGAGTGCTGGTGTGGGAGGTTGCGGAGTGCGAGGCCTGGCGCTGAGAGGACCTCAGTTTACCCATGTGTAAAGGGGGTGGGGCGAGCTGTCTTCGGGTTCCCGGCCCCTTTATCGACCGCTCTTGATCAGCGCCCGCCCTGCTCGTGATACAGGAACACGAGTGCTTCCAGGAGGAGCTGAGGAAGGCGCAGAGGAAATTACTGAAGGTTTCTCGGGACAAGAGGTGAGGCAAGTTGCAGGGACGAGGGCAGTGTGACTCCTAGGGATCCACCATGTGGCCCCATCCTGGAGTAGGACCACAAATGCATGGGCTCTTAGTAGAATCCTTTGGACCCTCTAGGAGGGTCGGGAGAATATTGCTGAGATGGGAATAAACACTCTCTTTCCCACTCTTCCCTCAGTTTTCTCCTAGACCGACTTCTGCAATATGAGAACGTGGATGAAGACTCCTCTGGTGAGCAAGGTCATGAAAAACTGGAGGTAGACATGGCTTTTGGCACTTAAGCAAGTCTTCCTGGGTCCATCTTCTTAGGCATTGGAAACTGATGCAGCCTCCAATGGTTCTTAAGCCTCCACCTCTACCATTCTTTCATTCAAGTACTTATGGAGCATCTACTGTGTTTCAAGCTCTGTGCTTGGTGCAAGAAATATAACAGCAGCAAAGACGGACAAAGCACGTGGTCTCTTGTAACTTTTATTCTAGTCGAGAGGAAATGAACTAGAATTTTAGGTAGCAATAAGGATTTAGATAAAAAACAGGATAATGCAGTGGTGAAGTGGTGATTTAAGTAGAACAAGAGTAGACTTTTTTTTTTTTTTGGTCAAGGCTCAGATAGTAAATGTTTTAGACTTTGTGGAATATGCTTTCTTTAAGCAGTTACTCAGCTGGTGTGAAAGTAGCCTCAGCCAGTATTGACATATTTGGCTGTGTTTTGATAAAACTTTATGGACACTGAAAAGTGAATTTCATTTAGTTTCCACATGAAGTATGATTTTTCTTTGGCTTTTTCAATCACTTAAAAATCTAAAAGCCCGCCAGGCACTGTGACACATACCTGTAATACTAGTGACTTGGGAGACTGAGGCAGGAGGATCACAAGTTCCAGGGTTGACTTAGCAACTTAGTGAGTCCCTAAACAACTTAGTAAGACACTGTCTTTAAAAAAAGAAAGAAAGAAAGAAAAAGGACTGGTGGTAGCTCAGTGGTAAAGTGCCCCTGGATTCAATCCCCACTAACAAAAAAAGAAAAGAAGCAGCAGCCAATTTTCTGAGTATAGGGTTAGAGCTTCCTAGGCAGAATAACAAATATAGGGGCCCTAAGGTAAGAAACAGCCAGGCTTGTCTGAGTAACAGGGATGAAGAGTATAGGGCATTGTTTTTCATATTGTTTTTAGTATTAACAATTAACAATGTTACAATACTGTTAATATATTTTACATTTTGATCAAATCTTCACATATACACTTATACAACCAAATTTAACAAAACATTTTTAATATCACTATATGTAGTTCAACCCTGTTTTTTAGACTACTTTTGACGCTGGTTGCAAACTTCATGACCACTAGTGGATTGAAACCCAGAATTTGAAAAAGCTGTAAAATAATATTCTGTTGGACCATACAACACCCGTTATTCATTTACTACTATAGGAAAATTGTAGATAAAGTTAGAAGTAGGCAGGGACCAGTGTACGTAGGTCATGACAGAAAGTTTGGCTTTATTTTAGCTCCTCATTCTGTGCTTCTCCCCACCCTAAAGTCTTTCAGTAATTTCCCGAAACTTCAGGATGGGGCGGTGAGAGAACCCAGCATGTTCATGATCAGAGGGGGTTAAATCTGGGGAGCTTTGCCAGAGATGTAAGCCTCTACTTTTATCCTAAAGGAACCCAAAGTTTATTCAAGGAGATGTCCATACATGATACTTCTCACAGAGTGTGAGGAAAACCATGACAAGTGAAAGTAGAGGGTTCTGAGAGCCAGCAATTAACTGGGCCTGAGATTCTAGATGACTTCTGAGAGAAGGTGGCATTCAATCTTGCTTTTGTGTGAGAGGGTGGGGGAGTATTTATTAGTGATCAAACCCAGGATTTGGCACATGCAAGGCAAATACTCTATCACTGAGCTACATACCTGGCCCTTTTTAATTTTGTTTTGTTTTTCAGCGGGGGTCTTGCTAAATTCCCGTGCTGGCCTTAAACTTGAGATCCTCCTGCCTCAGTCTCCCAAGAAGCTGAGATTACAGGACCATGCTACTCTACCTGACTTGAATCCACTATTTTAAAAGATTTGTCTGAGGGGCTGGGGATGTAGCTCAGTAGTAAAGTGCTTGTCTAATGTGCATGAGGCTTGGGATTCAATTCCCAGAACCACCACCAAAAAAAAAAAAAAAAAAAAAGAAGAGAAATCAGCAACTGCATATATCATATTCATCACTTTTGAAGTAAATGATGGGTCTTCTAGGAAGAAGTATTGAACACAAAAAAATTATATTTTTGAGTAAAGAGGTTAGAATGATAGAGTACAGTTTTAGGAGTTGAAGTGTATAGTTTAGTGGTAGAACATGAGCTTAGCATGAGTGTGGCCCTAGGTTAGATCTCCAGGACTACACACACAGAAAAGACAGTTTTATTGGGATAGGGTTAGATTAACAGGACCCAGAATATGGAATGTGGAGCAGGCAGGAGCTGAAGGCATCTTGGAGGCATATAGGAGGGAGTTACGTAAAATAGTCAAGGAATCACAGTTAATTCAAGTCCCAGTCCTATACCTTACTTCCTGAGCCTCAGTGACATCTGGAAAGTGGAGGTGATGGTTATGAAGACCAGAGGCGGTAAGTGTAAAGGAGCCTGGCACATAGTACATGTTTGGCAAATGTGTTATGAAGAAGCCAGAGTAGGAAACAGATTGTGAAAGCTGGGGAAGCTGTGGGTCTCCCCAGAATAGTACGTATGTGTGTGCCAGCTGGGGTGTCAGCTTCCTTCTAAAGTGTTGAGGGTACAGCCCTCTGAAGTAGACTGTGAGCCCCCAGCCTCCACTGACCAGCTCTTCTCCTACACAGACTCAGATGCCACCGCATCTTCAGAGAACAGCGAGACAGAGGGAACACCTAAGTTATCTGACACACCAGCCCCCAAAAGGTAAGAAGCAGCCATGGGAGTGGGGGGTGGACCTGGGCCTCCCAGCTGCCTCTGACTTCCTCCTCTGTCTTTTCTCCAGGAAAAGAAGCCCTCCGCTGGGGGGTGCTCCCTCCCCCTCCAGTCTCTCCCTGCCTCCTTCAACAGGGTTTCCCCTTCAGGCCTCTGGAGCCCCCTCCCCATACTTGAGCTCGGTGAGTTGGGGTCAAGGGTAGGAAGTGGTGGACTAAGATGCCTGGGAATAAGGTGGGCATCATTTGGGCAAAGGGGCCAGGCCTCCACATACAGTCACCCCAACTCTGGGGACATCTGTCTGGGTATGGCCAGCAAGCATCCCTGGAGGGAGTGTCGGGGCTGCCCACCTTCTCTCTGGTATAGGAACAAGGGACAGAATGACTGAGGAGAGCAGATCCCAGGACATAGTCCTGCTGCTGTCCCTTCCCCTTCTATTCTCAGGAGCCCTGGGAGCCACACTCATCACCATCTCTTTTGTTTTTCCATTCTTCCTCCTGTTTGCATTTCTTCCCTTCACCCCTCACCCTGACCCATTCCATTTCCCATCTCCATCCCCCACTCCCACCAGCAGCTGGCTTCTCCCCCTTACCCCCCATTCCCTTCTGACTACCTGGCCCTGCAGCTGCCCGAGCCCAGCCCCCTGAGGCCCAAGCGGGAGAAACGACCCCGCCTGCCCCGGAAACTCAAGGTACCCTGATTTGGGGACGTTAGGGAGGGGCCCCATCAGCAGGACAGCTATCTGAGGGAGGCTCAAGATGGGCTGGGTATCCATTTTTTATTTGGAACTGCTGAGAGTCCAGCCCAGGACTAGGCACTAAGGGGTGGATCCTAGAAGTCCTGACTCAGACTTCTTTTGAGACAAATCTGGGGCAGAACCAGCCTTGGGGGGTTTGGAGTGAGGATGCCTGGAGTCCTGCCCTTACACAGTGGCAGCATGCCCAGGGTCTGCAGTGTGGTCCCAGGCAGGGTGCATTTGCACAGGTCATGAGTGCTGTATGACAACCAGGCAGCCCCAGAGCGGGGCAAAATTGTGGGATCTAGAATTCAATCAGTACTCCCCCAGTATAACATGGTTATACAACTTTGAGCAGGTCTCTCTGATTCTATAAGTGTTCTAGATTTTGCATCTGTAGAGTAAGTGATCAAACTAGATGGAATCATCAAGTGTTGGTGGAGCACCTGCTTCATGCCAAGCACCATCCTAGGTGCTACATTGCCGTAGTGAACAAAGCAGGTGGAACCCCTTCCCTTGTGGAACTCACATTCTAGCAAGATGGACAGAAGATAAACAAGATGAATAGGTGTCAGGAGAGAAAACAGTCAAGAAAAGGGTGGGGAGCTCCAGGGTGGGTGGTCTGGGATGTACTTGAGCAGAGACTTAAAGGAAGTGAGAGCAAGCCACTTGGATCCCAGGGAAAGGGTTTCAGTCAGGGACAGCCAGGCAAAAGCCCCAGGAGTGTGCATGCTTGGCTTGTTCAGGGATTTGGTGGGAGGGAAGTGGAGGAGAGTGATCACAGAGCAGGTCAAAGACGTAGGCAATTGAAGGACAAGATGTAGGCAACTGTGAAGGCCCTTCCAGTTTCTGAAAGACTGTGGCTGGTACAGTGACTGAAATGGGAGCCACTGGAGGAGGCTGAGCAAAGGTGGCATCTGTTCCAATTTACATTTTGGTCACCTTGCCAACACTGCTGTGTGGAGGCCAGCCTGGGTGCAGGGGTAGGGGACAAGTCAGGATGACAGTGATGAAGTGACCCACAGAAAACCTGGTAGCTGTGGAGAGAGTACAGAGTGAGACAGGTGTCCGTTTTAGAGCAGGGGCCACAGGTTTCCTGGGAGACCAAGTGTAGCTGTAACAGGGAGAGAGGGCCCAGCCAGACTCCAGGATGCTCGCCTGAGCAACTGGAGAAGTGGAGCGGCCTTTTTCTGAGATGGGGAGAGTTGTGGGAGGAGCAGAATCTGGAGGGAAGATGAGCTTGGTGTTAAAAGGCCACCTGGAAATGTCAGCATCGGATACATGAGCATGGGGTTCTCGGGGATGCCACTGGAAGTTTTCAACACAGAGGTGGATGGGGAAGGGAAGAGGGCTGAGAGGGAGCCTCAGGAGTGATGAGGAGCCCACTGAGGGCACATTGTTCATTCGGATTGGAATCAAAGTTGATTTGGGACCAGGGTGGATGGCTCTTGGCTCTGAAGTCAGAAGCAAAATACGATGTTGTGTCTAGTGGTTAAGAGGGTGGGTTCTGGGGCTGGGGTGCAGCTCAGTGGTGGAGCACTTACCTAGCATGCCCGAGGCCCTGGGTCCCATCCCCAACACAACAGCGGGCTGGTAATACCCCTGCTGAAGGTTTTTGCTTCTGGCCTGAAAGGCAGGAGTGGAGAAAGTAACCAGGGCAGTCTGGAGCAGATGGGGGACTCTGGCAACGGCATAAGTGTGGGCAGTAGGAGGCGTCTGCTAGGAGCTGGGGCCTAAAGCAGAACAATGCCGGAGCTACTTTCTAGATTCATAGGATCTTTCCTCTCACAACATATTGGTTGAGAGAGAGGCCCAAGTCAGTCGCCGCATGTGGGGGAGGGGAGAGATCAGGGAAGTGCTCAGAGGAGAGAGAAGATTTGAGAGAACATTTGAGTGGAGAGTAAGTGAGATCTGGATAGTCCAGGCTAGTAGGAAGGGAGATGGAGACCAAGTGGAAATTGTGGCCTGTAGGAGGAGTAATGAGAGAACAATATTGGGAAAACAACAGGGTGGAGTGGGATTATAGAAAGAAGGATTGGATACCCGGAAAAGAAGGTGGTCCGTTACTGTGAAGGGAGTCGGAGTCTCTGAAGATTGTGGGTGAGAAAGAGATGGGAGGTGGCAAGTATGAGCAGAGGTGGCACATTTAGCTGGGCCCTGGCCAGGCGGGTGACATACGCCTGTAATCCTAGCTACTCAGAAGGCTGAGGCAGGAGGATCACTTGAGCTCAGGAGTGCAAGACCAGCCTGGGCAACATAGTCAGACCCTGACTCAAAAAAAGAAAAAAAACGCTGGGGCCTGGTCTAACTTGGTAGTAGAGCACTTGCCTAGTGTGCACAAGGCCCCGGGTTGGAATCCGGGCTCTTCCACCTCCCATGTGGTCTTGGGCATGTCGTTAACTCTATGACCCTCACTTTCTTCAGTGTCCTTGGAATCATGTGAGGCTAAATGAGTAAAGCGTGGAGATTGCAACATAGTGCCTGAGCCCCAGCAGGCCAGAGCCACATTAGTTCTTGGTCACACCGAGGAGGCCATTGAGGAAGTCTAGGCCAGGGGAGGATATGGGGAACAGGTAGGGATCAAGAGGTAGTAGCCAGAGGAGGGAGGCTCACATAGCTCCTCTTTTTAGTGTCTGTGTGTCTGACCTGTGGGCGCTTAGCACAGTCTGGTTTTCAGAGCTGGGCCTCCAATTTGCCATCTGTTCTGGCAGGCTCTTGTGCCTGCAGCCTGATTCACTCTAGTCCCCCATGTCACCCCAGGAGCAGAAGTCAGGGTGAGGCTCCTTGAGAAGCAGAGATCAGGCCATTAGGCCAGATGTGTTAAAGCAATTGGGAGGCCACCATGGAGTCGACATGTGACTATTTCCTGCCATATCCAATCCAGGGCCACACTAGGCACTGCCCAGTGAGGACCTGGTAGGTCTATTCCTTAAAACTTCCATTTCTAAGCCTCAGTTCTCTCCCCTGTCAGGTAACCCTCCTCCCACTCAGGGTAGCCCTAAGGATTGGAGATCATTGACTGAAGTCACCTGGCACATTGTAGGTGCTCAGGTTGTGCCTACTAAGCATGAAGGCTGCCTCCCATACTCAGAGAATTGTTGTTGGGAAGGCTTTTTGAGGACCTGCCGAGGTGGGACTGGAGGGTTGGTCAGGACAGAGGCCACTTCCCAGCCTCAGGATAAAGCAGGACTTATGACTAATAGAGAAGGATGCTCCAGGTGGAGGGGCTGGCCTGTTGTCAGGAACACTGCACTGCCTGTCCTGAGGGCAGGAGGGCCAGGGCCCTCAGGTGGAGGAGTGACATGCTCAGGTTTGTGTTCTAGAGCGAGCACTCTGGCTGCAGTGTGGAGGAGGAGCTGGATCTGGGAGAGGCTGAAGGCAGGGAGTCCAGTTAGGAGGCTGGTCCCCTAGCACAGGTGAGCTGAGAGGAGGCCTGGCCCAGGCCAGTGGCTGCGGGGATCCAACGGAGGGGTCTGTCCCAGATGTAATAGAAACTTCTGGGGGGGCGAAGAAGCCTCCCAGGCTCCTGGCTGGGGTGGCCTGTGATACCCTCCACTGAACCAGTGAGTCCTGCAGGAGGAGGGGGAGAACAGGCCTTGGTGGCAGGTGGAACCTGAGGGGCCCAGAGGCAGGAGGAGGTAGGCACTCCGTGCTGTCTCTGGCTCTGACTGGCTTTAATTGCTGTTACAGGGCATCCAGGGTGCCTCCCTGGAGAGGGCAGGGCCCAATCTCCCTTCCCAGTTTCCTATCAGTCACCCCACCCTCCCCCATCATCATACCTTCCATCACTGCCCCTCACTCCCAGGCACTTGCTGTTTTGGAATTTGAAGGGGCCAAGGTGGGGCAGGTCCCTGATTGCAGCACTGGCTGACTGGCTGTGTCCTTTGTCCCTTGAATGAGCCTTTGCCCCTTCCCCACCCCTCAGAACTGCCTTAAGGGGTGGTGTGTAGCCTCCTGGAGATCTGACAAGTCCTCCCTCTGTTTCTTTCCCCTGCTGCAGATGGCGGTGGGACCCCCTGACTGCCCTGTGGGCGGGCCACTGACCTTCCCTGCCCGGGGTCCTGGAGCTGGGGTTGGAGCTGCCCTGACCCCCCTGCCCCCTCCTAAGATGCCCCCTCACACAATCCTGAGCACCGTTCCGCGGCAGATGTTCAGCGATGCAGGCAGTGGAGATGATGCCCTGGACGGGGACGATGACCTGGTGATTGACATCCCGGAGTGACCACCCAGCGTCTTCTGCCAAACCGCTGGCCAGCACCCCCTCCCTGTGCCAGCACACATGAGCCCCAGCTTCCTCAGAGATGTTTATTGACGCCCAGTTGCCATGCTTCGGCCACTGACACAATCAGAGAAGGCGTAAACATGCACGAGTGTCCCCCAGGAAGGTGGCAGGGGCCCTGCCCTCACATCCCAGCCCCATCTAGGGGACAGCTATTTAAATGAGTGGCCAGAAGCATCTGCTACCTCACAGGGAGGCAGAGACCCAGTGATGGCCACCCCTTTAGAAGGGCAGCTGTACAGGGCTAGGACTTTTGTGTATTAAAGGAGTGGCTCTTCTCTTGCGTGTCCTCTTCTCTTTTGGGAACATTCTCCTCCTCCAAACCTCCCCGAATCCAACCTCCTCCCGTGCGGGGAGGGGTGGGGCAGCCTGGAGAGGCTGGAGAAAGGAGCAGGGGTCCCTGGGGTGTGGCTCTGACAGCACTCCCCGCAGGTGTGCAGGCTGGGTGGTTTGCATATTGCAGGTGATAGCGAGTCAGGCAAGAGGAAGTTGCATATGTGAATACAGATCTCCACAGTCCCTCACAAGACAGACCCATGGTCACAGAGACTCTCACACAAATAAGGTGGCGTGGGGTGGGGGCATCCCACCCTGTGTAAACGTGCAACACACTCGTGCGAGGGTTGGGTACTGGACCTGGCCCGAGGGGCCTGTGCCGGGCAGCAGCTGTCCACTCAGGTGGAGGGAGGAGCCCCAGCCGCAGGGGGCAGCTCGCTGGTCAGGGTGTGCCAGCGCTCCAGAGCTGTGTCCAGCTGCTGTAGACAGTCGCTCCAGTGCTTTCGTGCCTCTCCTCGGGCGCCTGACCCCAGGGACACACCACCTGAAGAGCAGACAGAGTCAGGGCCTGGCTTCCTGCCCATTAGTCCACCCTGGGCACCACCTCGCTGGGCTCGCCTCACCTATGAAGTCATTGGATTTGCCAATGTCGTAGTCCCAGACAGTGACTTCCAGAGTCTTGGTGGCTAGAATGGAGAGTTCCATCTCGTAGAAAAATTCCTGGGGACAAGATGAACCACACCTCCAGTGAGGCCCTTTCTAATCCCTGCTCTGGTCCCCAGTCCACTCTGATTTCAGTCCTCATTCCACACAGGATTCAGCGTGTTCCTCTGAGTCTTCGTTTTTAGCTTATTGGCCTGGGGTGTGGAGAAAAGGGTTCTGATACTTGTCCCTGAGAAAAGGGTTCTGATACTTGTCCATGTTTACCTCATTAAATTCCGGGTTTAGAGTCTTCTTCTTCACGCGTGTTTTATGCTTGGATTTCTTATCCACATCTGGTCTCAGGTACCTGGGGGTGGGAATGTGATTAGGGATAGGCCAAGACCCAGAGGAATCTAGGGCAAGGCTCAGGGTCCCTGGGGAGGAGACAGTGGGCTATAGGAACAGGCCATGCCCCAGAGGATCTCGGGCAGGTTCAGGCTCCGGCAAAGGTGAGGGCTCACGTCTTAACGTAAGGGTCAGAGTAGCCGTTGACGTCCATGGCAGCCAGGTGCGCACAGCGCATGATGCCCACCAGCAGCCCCCGGCGCCGAGAGCTGTAGCTGAGGCTCAGCAGGATGCGCCCGCGCTCCTCTAGCAGCCCAGGTCCGTGCTCTGCCTGCTCCAGCTGCAGGGGACAGATACAGGGGTCTATCCAGGTCCTCCACCACCTCCCACCCAACTATGGCCCCTGTGAGGCTCCTCACCTCCTTCAGGTAACAGGAGATGCCCCTTAGTGCCGCAGACATGGAAGAGGGTGAAGCCAGCTGAGGGGGCAAAGAGAAGCTTCTGGCAATCTGGCCTCTAGGGCTCCCCCCCAGGAATCCCACAGCTCCCACACAGACCGGGACTTGGCGCTCAAGGCAGATGTTAAAATGCTTCTTCTGCGAAGGCTTGAGGCGGCGGAGGGGCACTCGGATCTCCCCGATAAACTCATTGTGGCTCAGCTTGTCTTCATCACAGACAGAGATCCTGGCAGGGAACTTCAGGGTCAGGGCCCCCGTACCTGAGCCCTGCTCCAGTGTGGGAGAAGGGTTCTCAGACCAGTCTCAGCTCTGCCCTAGAGCTTGCCCTGTTCCAGTGTCCCTCGCCCTTCAGGATCTGCAGAAAGCCCTCACAAATCTTAGGGACTGCCCCCATCCCCATCCAGGAGACAGGATCTGTCTGAACCCCGCAGGTGTGTGTTGGCGGATGTGACCATAGGTGCAGGCTGTGAGAGCTAGAAGGGCCTTGAGGAGTCTGGGACAGGCAACCAAGGACCCTTCACCTCCTTGGGCCCTCCTGTCCTTTCCACCTGGAGCAGGGCATCAAGCTGGCAGAGACATGTCAACCCAGCAATTAAGAAGTGAAGGTCTTTATTTCCGTCTGCCCACTCTGTACTCATGCTGCTGCTGCTGTGACCAGCTAATGTGCTGAGCAGCTGTGGCATGTGGGCATGTTGAAGTCCCAGTCCTGCCACTTATTACCTACCTGCGAAGTCACTTAACCTCCCTTAGCCTCAGTTTCCATCTGTAAAATGGAGATAATGGGTACCCAAATCTGGAAGCTATGCTGAGGGTCAACTGACAAAGAAATGGAAAAACTGCTCACTGGTGAGTTCTCAGTAATTTTCGGGCCCCGTTCTCACATCTCAAACATGGTGCCAGCTTTTCTGGTTTCTGCCTCTGTCCCTCACTCCCCCAAAGTGATCTTTGTAAAACAGCCCTGACCATATCCCCTTCCCTGAGGCAGACCCTTCTGTGGCTCACTCTTGTCCAAGAACAAAAACTAAGGCATCATTACCCCTGAGGGATTGCATCCCACATCTCCATCTCTTTCAATGACAGAACAAGTTCTCTGACCCCGAAAAATTCCCTCAGAGGTTTTAAGTAAACACAAGACAGGGCAGGCAGACCAAAGCACAGATCCAACTTTGGTCAGAGCTTCTGACAAGGGGTCCCATAAAAGCTTTCTGGAGGAGGCAGAATTTGGACTGAGCTCCAAATGAGTGGGATTTAGGCTGGCAGAGAGGAAGCCGAGAGCTTCCAACAAAGTCAGGAGTTACAAAACTGACAACCAGAAGACGCTAGGTAGTCCTCTATGGGAGGAACAGCAGGAGGTACTTTGGGGGTGGCAAGGCCAGGAAAATAGCCTGCTGCTGAAGGGGCTGGAGAGCCACTGATTGTTCTTGAGCATCAGCAAGGTAAGGGCTTAATGGGATAAAAAGAGGTCACCCAACCAAAGAAAGTTACAATAACAGGTGTCCCAGAGGAGGTGCCAGGCTAGAATCCTTGGCAGCAGGGAGGTTGAGCCCTCACCTGAGCACCTTGTGAGTGATATCATCGTCTGTGATCCCACTGTAGGTCAGGTCCTCATTCCACACAGGATTCAGCGTGTTCCTCTGAGTCTTCGTTTTTAGCTTATTGGCCTGGGGTGTGGAGAAAAGGGTTCTGATACTTGTCCCTGAGGCCCCTAGAGAAAGGCAGAGGCTGGGAGAATTTGGGTTGGACCCACAGATGGGACCAAATTGGGAGAAAGAGGATACTGTTACCTTGCAGGCTCCAGGCAGCAGGTGCAGCTTAACATAGGGATCAGCTAGGCCATTGAAATCCATGGGCTTGAGGCCCTGGAGGGAGGACAGCAAAGAGGATGGTGACTCCCAGCCCCTTCCCCTGCCCTCTGCAAAGCAGGATTCTGAAGGTGTGCAGCACTCAAGGGAAGGTGCCAAGGAGGCAGGAAGGAGTGGGGTTCAAGCATAAAACATTGGGGAAGGGAAGGAAGGCTGGGACCCCATAGGGTCAGAGCCTGGCAGGCAGGGAGTGCCCACCTTGGCCCTGAGGATGCTACAGTGCAGAGTGCAGGAGGCCTGGTCATAGAGAAGGTCGAACTCCAGTGTGCCCAGGGCAGCTGCAGAAGAGGGGAAGGTGGCATGAGTCGGCATGCCAAGACAAGTGTGTGTGAGGGACCCATGGCTGAACGTGGATGTGCACGACTCCATCTCTGTGGGCCCGTGAGTGTGTGCAAGAGGCTGAGTGGGCATGTGCATGTGTGCGTCTGGGTCCCTGGCTCGGCCGCCACTGGGGCTGTGTGGGTGGTGGAGTGTCTCAGCAGAAATATTGAATATTAGCCTTGCTCAAGCTGTAATCTCCACCCGGACTGCAGCTGTGGTGGCAGCCCCACCATCCCTCATCCTTCCTCCCCCCTCGGCTAGTGCACACCCAGCAGGGCCTGTCCCCTCCCACAAGCCTGGAGGCCCCCCATTAACACCAGGAGCCCTTCAAGTCCCCAGACTCACTGGTATCGTCTGAATCATAGCTGTCCACCTCAGCTCGGTCCTCAGGCGTGGTGGCCCCAAGGAGGGCCGCAGGAGGGGCTAGAGCCAGGGGTGCCAGATGAGCTGGGGCCTCCCGGCAGCCCCCGCCCCCGCCTTCAGGTCCTGGTCCCCGACGAGGGAAGTAGTCAGAGATCTGGCGGATAGGCCGGATGGGCCCGGGGCACACGTTGATGGCCATGTGCTCCTGGATATTGATGGTCATGCGGTCGCCCCTGCGGCCCCTCATGCAGCACCCCTGGCTGGGGGAGGAGGGTGTGAGGGCTGGAGGCGGCTGGCTGGCTGGCTGACTCCTCATACCTATGCCTGCTGGCTGAGGGCCAGGCTGAGCTTCCTGGTCTGTGGGGCCCTCTCTGGCCGCCCTTCCTAGGTGTCAAGGGAGAGGGCAACCTGTGCCAGGGAGTGGGCAGGCAGGAGGCCTGGGCCCTCCAGACCAGGAGCCTGGCTCCACAGGGGTTGAGCTGCCAGGCCACTCCCGGCACACAGAGCAGACAGGTCCTGGCTCCCCTCAACCTTGCCCCCCACCTCCAGATTGTCCCTTTGTCATCTTCCAGGCTCAGTCCTCTCATCCTGGGCTCCCCTCTGTGCCTGGGCCCTGTATACCCCATAGCAACCCCCAGAGGTCCCTGCCTCTAAGCTCTGGCCATCCCCTGCACCAGGCTCAAGTCTGGTCCGGGTGTCACCCACCCCTCTGGGCTTCCACTTCCTGCTGAGCCTTCATTCTGCCCTGGGATCTGTCTGCCTGGTCCCCCTTGCCGCTGCCTCCTGTCTTTCCCCAAGGTGAGGACCTCAGCCTCAGATGCCTCCTTCTGACAGTGCCTCCCAAGGGGAGCCAGAAATTCAGCCGCAGGAAAGCTGCACAGCCCCGGAGCACACAGGCTAAGGCGCTCACCCTCACCCTCACGCCCCCGGCCGGCCCAGCCCCCTGCACCTGTTTCTGTGCCTCCAACAGGTGCCAGGCACTGGGCGGCCGGCGGGCGCAGGCTGGGCGGCGGCGGCCGGCGATTCCCGGGCGGCCAGCAAGAAGAGCGCGAGTCGGGCTGTGAGCGCCACGCCGAGCGGGAGGGAGCCGAGAAAGTGCGGGAGGAGGGGGTGAGGCGGGCGGAGGCGAGGATTCAGCAGGCGCGGCGGGGGCGGAGGGGCGCGGGCTGGGCAGGGGATGGACTCTCCGGCTTACACCCGCCGCCCTCCACGCACAGCCCGGGCACACTCAGGAGCGCACGCGAGTGCACACACAGACACGTGTGCTCGCGCTCCCGCACGGGCACGCGGGCTGGCACACACACACATCTCGCCTGGGCATTCCCGTGCACACACGCCTGGACCCCCACGTGTGCAAGCTCACACACATGCACCAACGAAGGCACGCGAGGGGCACACTCACCCAGGAACTTCGCATACACACACACTCGCCAACACGCGGGCTCCCTGCGCCACCAGGAATCAACCGCGAGAATTACCGGGTGTTTCCCAACTCCTCCCGGGAGACCCGGGCCCCGGCCTCGCCCCCTCGCTGCCTGCCGAGCCCACAGCGCCGCCTCCCTCCCTCCCTCCCCCCCTCGCTCTCTCCCCCCCTCGCTCTCTCCCCCGCTCGCTCTCTCCTCTTCCTTTCGGGTCTCCCGGGCCAGACCACCAGCCTGGTTGCCATGACAACGCTGGCTCATTCCCCCCCGCCCCCCCATCCTCACGCCCCTCCCCCGCCGAGAGCTCGCGAGGGAGGGAAGAGGGCGTCTGTCCTCCCCTCTGGTAGCCGTAGGGGCGGGGCTTAGAGATCCGCAGTGACCTAGGGGCGGGCAGGGGAAGAGGGTCTGGTCCGCCTGCCGTCCCTGGCCCTGCATCTCCGGGTCGCCAAACTGGGGTGGGGAACCTCAGAGTCTGAAGGAGGAGATGAGACCGTGGCTTCCCCCATGCCTCCTCCATTTGGCTGTACTGGCATTTCTCCTGGTGACCCAACCCAGCCCCCAGGACCGCTGTTTCCTTCTCAGGGATGGCATCTCCTTTGGAAAACCACCCTTTCACACCCCACCCCCTGCCATTTCCAGTTCTGCCCCTAAGATGGGCAGTGATCTGGACTCTGTCCTGAATGCCCCCAGAGCCCTGCAGTCTCGGGAAGCTCTGCCACCCCACCCCCACCCTGCGCTGCCCCACACCTGCCACCAGCCTGGATCCTGTAGCTTTTGATCTTCAAGATCATTTGCCCCAAACTTACCACTCCAAAAGACAAAGTCCTCACAGTGGCTTCCAAGGACCTCATCACCCACTCTACCCACCACAGGTTGGAAACCTTACCTGCAGCTCCCAGAACCCACCTTGACCCCTCAGGCCTCTGGAACTTCTCTCAGTCACACTCCACCTGGGAGACCTGCCCTTCCTTCAGGGGTCATTCTGGGTCAACTCTTCCCTAGGAACCTTCCTAGAGCACGGTGGCACCCCCCTTCCCTTCTGCCCCTCAGCTTCCAGATACCTCAGACTCTGCTCTGCTGACAATTTTGTCTGAGCCTGTTTACATTTCTGTCTCCCATCAGCCAGGGAGTTACGAAGCAAGCAGGGGCTGATTCATCTCTGAGTCCCTGGTGGCCCAAACTGGTCCTGGAATTGTCAGCCTCACTCAATATTGAGACTTAAAACAGAGAATTTTGATTGCACAATTGTGAATATGCTTAACACCACCTAACTCCACACTTAAAAGTGGTTAAGGGCTGGGAGCTGGATACGTGCCTGTAATCCCATCTACTTGGAAGGGAGGCTGAGGCAGGAGGATCACAAGTTCTAAGCCAGCCTCAACCATTTAGTGACACCCTCTCTCAAAAATAAAAGTAAAAAGGACTGGGGATATAGCTCAGTGGTAGAGTGCCCCCGCGTTCATCCCTGTGCCAAAAAAAAAAGTAAGGATGGTGCGTGTGGCTCTGTGGTAGAACAGTATTTATTTGCTTTCAAGAGGGTTCCATCCCCAACATCAAGAGAAAGTAGGAAAAGAAAAAAAAAAAAGATTAAAATGGTAACTTGTGCTACATGTAGATGTTATGGGTTTGTATTTTATCACAGTATGTTTTAAAGTAAGAAAAATGTAGAGTCAAACTAGACTGAGACACCACCTTCACCTACCAACGGGCAAAATTCAAAGTGTCTGTTAATACATAATGTGAGTGAGGCTGTGGACAAGTGAGTACTACTTCTGCAGAGGTCAGTCTGGCAGTGGATTCCAAGGGCACACATTACACATACCCTTTGACCTTGACATTCCACTTCTAAGATTTTATCCTATAGATAAGCTGACCCATGGGCAAAATAATAGACATTGGAAGTTTTTTTTTTTTTTTTTGGAATCAGGGATTGAACCCAGGGGTGCTTAACCACTGAGCCACATCTCCAGCCCTTTTTGTGTTTTATTTTGAGACAGGGTCTCATTGAGTTGCTTAGGGCCTTGCTAAGTTGCTGAAGCTAGCTTTGAACTTATGATCCTCCTGCCTCAGTCTCCCAAGCCACTGGGATTACAGGTGTGTGCCACTATGCCCGGCCGTTTGAGGTTCTTTTTTTGGGGGGGATATTGGGGATTGAACTGGTGGCACTCGACCACTGAACCACATCCCCAGCCCTATTTTGCATTTTATTTAGAGACCAGGGTCTCACTGAGTTGCTTAGCACCTCCCTTTTGCTGTGAAGCTGGCTTTGAACTTGCCATCCTCCTGTCTCAGCCTCCGGAGCCATTGGGATTACAGGCATGTGTCACAGCACCCAGTTTGAGGTTCTTAACTTCAGCATGTTTCAAAAGCTTAGAAACAACAATGTGTAAGGGATGGAACTGGTTAAATCATACCCCAGTTATGGTATGATTTCATACAATCAAATAGTATAGTATGTAGCTATGAAAAAGGAGACTGCTTATGTACATGTACAGAATCACCTCTACAATCTTGTTTTAACTTAAAAAAAAAAGCAAGGTGCAGAGTGACATGTGTGGAATGCTGCCATCTGAGTGGCAGGAAAAAAAGCTTAGTTGTATTTCTCTGTGCATAAATTATTTCCAGAAGACTGCACAAGAAAATGGTAATTATGGTGACCTCTGAGGAGGTTGCTGAGGGGCAGGGAAGGGCAGGAATAGGAAAAACTTGGTTTCCAACTTATATTCTTTTGTATCTTTTAAATTTTATGCCACGTGCATATGTTCTTCCAAGGAATGCATTAAAATTGTATATATTTGTGTGTGAGCCAGGGATTGATCCCAGGACATTGGGCATGCTAGGAAATTGTTCTGCCACTGATCCACATCCCCAGCCCCCAAATAAATAAATAAATAAGGAAATATAAATATATATTTACATATGTGTATACATATTCAGATATATACATATGCATGTACACACACACACACACACACACATATATATATATATATATATATATATATATATATATAATTTTTTTTGCAGTATTGAGGATTGAACCCAGGGTGCTCTACCACTGAGCTACATCCCCAACCTTTTATTATTTATATTTTTGAGACAGGATCTTTCTAACTTGCAGAGGCTGTCCTTAAATTTGCAATCTTCCTGCCTCCGTCTCCCAAAATCATGGAGAGTACAAGTATGGACAACGCCCCCTGAGCCTGTTGAAGTAAGCCAGATAGGACATGGCCTTGGCTTGAACAAGGAAAAAAGTTTGGAAGCAGATCAAAGTAGGTGGACTTGAGATTTCGGTTGGAAGTGGAGTCCACAGGTCTTAATTTGGGGCTTGTTAGGTAAGAGGGAAGGATCTCTGTTTCTGTCAAGCACATCATCTCAGAGGAATGGTGAGGCCATTGGTTGAGATGGAAAGATGAGGTCAGGAGAAGGTTTGGAGTAGGAGAATCAAGAGCCTCGTTTGGGATCTATTGCGTTCGAGATGTTTTTTGGACGTAGAGAAGACTTCAAGCAGGAAGTTGGATATGGGAGTCTGGAGCTCCCAGGAGAGGTCTAGGCTGGAAATATACATTGGTGAGTCACCAGCATATAGATGGTATTTAAAGCCATGAGACTGGATGAGATCACCTAGGGAGAGAGTATAGTTAGAAAAGAGAAGACCCAAAGCTGAGCTGGCGAGAGAAGAAATCTCGAAAATTGTTGAGGGTGGCTCCTGTGCTCAGAGTCAGGGATGGGGGCACCCTGCTGAGAGAGAGAGAATGAATCAAGAAGTAACCATTAAGTTTGGCAAATTAAGAAGTCACTGGTGGACTTGACCAAAGTGGCTTCAGTGGACGGGTGGGGATGAAGTCATATCAGAAGAGGTTGAAGAATACATTCACGGTGAAGGAGTGTAGACAGCAAGTGTAGACCTTTACTAGAATGATGCGCATCCATGGGTTCTCTCTCCTGTGATCCCAAGGGGAAGAAACACATCCTGGTGATTTTTTTTTTTTTTTTTTGTGGTGCTGGGGTTGAACCCAGGGCCTTGTGCATACAAAGCAAGCACTCTACCCACTGAGCTATATCTCCAGCTCTGTCCTGGTGATTCCTATAGAAGTCAGAGATGGAGTCCAGAACCCAGGAGGGCTGAACCACTAAGCCCTAGTCCCACCCATCTCCCCCCTTTTTTGAGACAGGTTCTCACTAAATTGCGGAGGCTGGCTTTGAACTTGGGATCCTCCTGCCTCAGCCTCCTAGACTGCTAGGATTACAGGCATGCGGCACCATGCCTGGCCTTCAGTACATTTACTTAATGGTTAGATAAATAGATGAACAGATAATCCGCTCATTCAAAGGTCTGGTGGAGAGAGCAGCAGTACTCTGTGGGGCGGAAACAGGAACCATCCCCGCTGTCCCTCCTATGCCCTGTGACTTCGAAGAGATAAGTGTAGGGGAAAGCAGCCCATAGGAACCAGTTCCAAGGAGGCTCATTCAGGTTATTTTTCTCTCCTCTTTTCCCTGTTCTTTCCCCTCTGGGCTTTTTTGTTGTTTAGGAAATACACGCTATTGTGGTGAGAGACTCCCAGCTTGCCATGTGGGGAACAGGCAGGCTGGTACTTTGAGGTCCCCAAGGCAGAGAAGATAGAGAGGGACCCAGTGGAGGAAGGAGTGCCATCTGTGGGACAGAGGCCCCCACACAAGCTGGACATGCGCCTGGCTTTGGGGCAAGCCAAGGAACTGGGTCTCTCAGAGACTGTGGCAGAGACAGGCGTTTGTGTATTAAATCCAAGGAGACCCTCAAATGTCCTTAGCCAGGGTGGGCTGGAACATGTCTGTGACAGACCGACCTACCTGCCAATCAGAGGAGAGCTAACTCTTATAAGCCAGGATGAGGGCACAGGAGTGACTATGGCTGTTGGAAAGTGACCAAGAGAGACTGTGGAGGGGCCCACCAGCCACCAAAGGGCAAACAGAGATATAGAGGAGTCTTCAGAGGCTCTGTGAATGTCCAGGAGACCTGCCTTGGAATGGGCCAGAGGAATTCTTCTGACGACCCCCCAAGCCACCAGTCCCCAGCTGTCCCTTTTCCTACTGCACCAGATGCAACCTGTGGGAAAAG